ACCCTGGGGCCATTTACATGGCTCCTGAAAACTAACTGTGGAGAATTGGACCCACGGAATCTGTTATCCCATCCGACTCTTTGACAAATACAAATGTCCTACTGGGCAGATTGAGAGATTCTGAGAAGCTGACAGAGACAAAAGTCAACCCCTGTATCAAAAATGCCAACTACAGGGACCAAATTTCCACACGAACTACCAGCTCCCTAAGAACAGTTCGTAAACTGCTCCTCTCCACAAGCCCAAATCCAAGGTGATCAGCAGTGATTTTTGGAGGTATAGGAGTTCTGTCTTCTAAGAACTCTGGTGAATCCTCTTTAAAGGCAAGTTATTTAAAACCAATGGCTAACCCGTATTTTAAGTTTTCCCATTTTTCACAGTCAGTCCAGTTAAGAGACAAGAAATCTAGGAGACAGAATTCCATAGGTGGTTGGTCTTTTGTTCTAACATCCCAGGCTGGAACAGAGATGGTCAAACGGTTACCTAAGAGGGTGAACCAGTACCTGGGAACCATTTAACGAATAAGGTAACTGTTTCCATCACGAACTTATCTGCTAGGTTCCTCCATAAGTAATGTAAAAACTCTTTAATGGATAGAAAAATGCACTTTTTATAACTAAGAAAATTTGGTGTTTTCAGTAGGTAAGGTGATCAAATGAAGGATTATTAATAATAATACTGAATATTCGTCTGTGATTTTGCATTTGTCAAGTAGTTGCCACAAGCCCTAAGTCATTAATTCATTATTCCAAGGTGGTGTCAAAGGCATTATCTGTCTTATGCATGAAAAGACTTAGCAGGGAAATGAAACATCTTGTCCCAGTAGAGTTAAGGCTTGTCTTGGGACTCTAATTCCAGTGCTCCTTTTGAGAGTGTTATGCCTCTTAATTAGAGAATAAAGTAGATAAATCCAGGTAAAATCATCCATTCTCCCCCAGGAAACACCTGGAGAATGCTTCACTGATTGAATTATTCAGCTTATGACTGAAGAGATTCCTCGTTCCCTTTCAGCTTGAAAATAACAGTCAGAGCAATAAAGCTCAGGGACCACATGACTCTGCCTTACAGAGTCCAAGATTAGGCCCCAGACAGTTCTCATGCTCAACAGACTTCTCCTCTCCACCTTCATACCTCCCTCCAGCCACACTGGTCTTCTTCCTCAAACCCACCAAGTCATGGCAAGTCATTGTTGTTCCTAAGTCTAGAATGCCTACCTTCCAACTTTCTCCTGGCTGCCTCCCTCGTGCCATTCAGACCTCAGTTCAAATGTCACCTCCTCTGAGAAGCTCTCCCTGGCTAACTTCTCTAAAATGGCCCAGAGGCACTCTTATTCCATCATCTCATTTTATTTCTCCGCACAGCACTTTTCTCTGATACCATTCTTCACTGTGTCCGGTATCCAACCTGACTAGAACATCAGCCTCACAAAAGCAACGTTCTTTGTGGTGGTGCAAACAGTTACACTCCCAGTAATTACCACATCGTCTGGCACAATGACAGTCTTTAAGAGATATGTGTTAGATAAATGGATGGATCACATCGTATCAGTCTCCAATAACATAGTCCCTCTCCCTAAGAACACAAGTTCCTTTGATATGGCCAATGTTTTACAAATTTCCTGAATGAGTGGAGGAGGGAGAGGGAGAGGGAGAGGTTATTTGTAAATTACTTAGTTGTTTCCAAATGTGTTCTAAATGCTCTGTAGAAAAGAGGTTGGTGCCTTTAATGATGTACTGAGTAAGAGTCATCTTTGAACCAGTGGGAAACAGAAATGGGTTACAAAATGCCGAATTTAGTTACACAAATCCTTTTCGTGTTAATCATTTGACATAAAGGAGGAAGCAGAGAGGAGAGGGAGCAGCATGGGCTTCAGTTAGGAAAAGGGAGTGAGCAGAGCTGAGTCAAGTCTTCCCTTGAACTTCGGTACCAGGCGACAGGGAACCTTGAGCGCTGGCACGTCACAGCATCAAAGCACGGTGAGACTCCTGCAACTTCAGTGGAGCAACAACCACAAAGGGCAGGAAGCTCACTGCGTGTCAGGTGCAGCCAGAAATGTGGTGCTTCCAGATCGCACCAGTGCCTGGCAGTGATGGAATGCTCCCTGCTGAGCCAGGCATCTGGGAAGCTTGTTCTACACACTATCTCAATTAATCCTCACTTCCAGCCTACAAGGCAGGCAGGCACACTACCATCATCTCCTTTTCTGTAAATGAGGAAGTTGGGTTTGGAAAGTTTAAGTAACCAGCCCCTGGTAGAGCCAGGATTTGAAGCCACAAGCCTGACTCCAAGCCAAAGCTCTTATCCCGTTTGCTCATGTCCAGTGAGGACAGGCTTCCCACCAAGCACTCAGTAAACCCTTTAGGAGCCATATGGTCAGGGAAGATCAGGCCTGAGGCAAGGTGGCTTCAAGTAACAAATTCTGGGCAGTTAAGGAAAGTCAGCAACTGAAAAGTCACACAGGACTACGATGCGAGAGAGAAAAATACCCACAGGCAGGACCAGCTATGTAATTTGAGGGCCCAGTGCACCATGAAAATGAGAGACTCCTTGTCCCAAACCGTAAACAATTTCAAGATGGCAGCAGCAGAGCATCTGAGTGCAAGCAGGGCCCTTCTGAGCACCAGTGCTGCTGCTGTGCAGGGATCCCCCTTGACTGCCCATCAAGACAGCTCTTCATCTCTTTGAACTGTTACTCCCTGCATTTCAATTTTTACTTACCTTTTTATAAAATCTAATATATGAGTCATGAAGGACATGTATTTTAAATGGAAGAGAGAGAGTCAAGGGTTGGAGAAAACTTGTGTATTTTTTCTGACTTTATTCTTTAAATTGTCCAAGGGTCGGGTATGAGCCATCAAGTGGCAGTCCCTGGAACTGCATGATGAGTGCCTGGGAGGCAAAAATCAACTTGGAAGGGATTTGATCTAACCTGGGTTCTAAGGCTTCAAACTTTAAGGAGATGGCAAGGGGGCCATCTAAACTGCTGCATGAATTGTGTGAATGAGTACTGATGGTTTGGGAAAGTTTCATCTGCCTGGATTTGCTAGCGTTCTCCAAGCAATATCCTGAATTGTAGGCGATTATGCATGTAGTCCTTTTGATTCATTCTACAAATACTGCTCCAATGTATATTCTGTGCCAGGTAATGGACAGGCTCAGTGATGCAGCTTCTGCCTCTAGACACGGGCAAATAAATGTTAAGTAGGTAATACTACAAATACACATGGAATCACCAACTACAGAAAATTTACAACAGCATCAAGTCTGTGAAATTGGGAGAGAAAACCAGAAGAGGACCTTGGAGTTTCCACTGACAGAACAGGGCAGGTCACAGTATTATGAACACCCCTCCAAAGTTCTTCCTGGCTTAATGGAGTTAATCTAAAAAACTCTAAGTCTTTCATTTAAACCATTTAACGTAATTTTGTTATCTACCCTGGAAGAGACAGGAGAGCTCGAAGGAGGTAGAGAGAGGGAGAAAGAAAGAGAAGGAAGGAAGGAGGAAAAAAAGAAACAGATTGGCACTTTGAGACCACAGAATGGCTTTAAAACATAGTAAGTGTATGTATACGTATGTGTATGCATAACTGGATCACTTTGCTGTACACATGAAACATTGTAAATTAACTACACTTCAATAAAAATAAAATTTAAAATATATATACATAACCATTTTCTTCTTCTTTTCCCTCTTTCCTCCTCCAAAAGCTCAAAAACACTCTTTGAACCACTCATTGGTTCCATCACTCCAGAGTCTTAACATTATTTTAGCAGAGCTTTATGTGTGCAAATACTACGAAAACCAGAAATTGTTCCTCTTCCTTAGAAGCATCTATCTAATCTGATTGTATATATGTCAAGTCGATGTGTACAATATGTATGTCAACAGTGCTTAAGTAATATCTTGTCTCCACTTGCTTCTGATTTCTCTGAATTCTCATATTAACCTCTCTCTCTCTCTCTGGGTCTCTTTTGACAGTGTTGGGATTTTCCCTCTTTGAAACTTGACAGAAATATACGCTATTTCAGTTCTTGATATGAGGCACTAAGCAAACTGAAAATATCGCCAGCCCTTTAAGTCTCATTAGTTTCCTTTAAACACCTACTTGGCCGGTGTAAGCTAATGTGAACCTTTCTCACCCTGTTTAAATTCCAACATAAAACTAGTACACAACAATAAAACATGGGGCTCATTTGTCATGCTTCCATGAGCAACTGTGTCACCCACACCAAGAACCACGGGCTGGCTGTGCGTAACGATTTCATTCCTATTTCCCATCACTCAATTGCGTCTTGTGTAGAAAAGCTTTTAACAACCACATCTGGCCTTTAATAAATCACTGCACTTTGTCTTCCTGCCAAAACTCCTCCTTTATCTAACTTACATCTTCATGATGAGATCGGAAATCACGCATTATGCTGGTGACAAACAATTGTAATTATGTCATTAGTAGCCATTTAGTCTACAAAGGTGCTCAAGAAGGAGAGAGAAAGCACAATAAGAAATATAGGATAATACATTGATCACAGTTCTAATCCGCTTTTACTTCATGAGTGTGAAAGGCTGGTGTAATTCTTGGGCACAGCATGCAGTAATGGCATACCACTTTATGAACTACGCAGCTATTTTATTCCCCTATCTACTTAAAAATAAAAAAGCATTTTATAGCTTGATTGAGATATAAAAGTTATTTGTGATGCCTCGCTGATTATAATATTTATTTTTCAACTTTTTGTAGAAGGGACTTTACGTGTTAGGAAAGAAACCTGAGTTATTTGAGGTTTAGGAAAGGGAACCACCTTAGATGTGCTCTGCGTGCATGTGTGCACCTACACACAAGTACACCTTGGTATGCACATGTGGCTATCATGTACTGTGCATGTGTGTGCATTCTATCCATGTATGCAATGTGCATACACTATGTAGACATATGTGGTGTGCATGTTTACACATACACACATTCGTATAGGACTCATACAACTTCACAATGGGATGCATTCTCTAAGGACCCCAAATAGTGAAGGAAAAAACTAACAGAGAATTAATTAAGAAAATGTGTCACTTACTGTGATTCCTACCACCTCCCTCACTGTGCAGTTTAGGAATAAGAAATTCCAGCAGGTTTCAAAGAGAAAAACTATTTGGATGTTCCTGAAGTTCTAAACCCCACACATTTCTCCAACATCAAGAAAAATCAGATGCCTGATTCTGCACAGACCAGAGCTCTAACATCCACCCAGGGTGAGGCACTAGTGACAACGGGGTCGGGGGTGTGAAATCTTCAATAATCTGCCGCCTACCAAGATGGAACGTGATGGAATATCCTCTCTGACCAAGTTTCCAACAAGTCTCCTTGCTTGAAATGCAGCCACCTAAGACATGTGAGTAAAATGAATCAGAAGGTAGCAGGGTCAAATTTTAGAAAGAGCAAAATCATTTCTCGTACAAAACTTCAGTCAGCCACTTCAACCTCCCCGCTTCTGACAAACTTTCATTTCACCGTCCAATCTCTACAGGAGCTAAGCTTTGAATCAAGTCATTTAGAAATCTCCCTGTTTGTTAATTCAACAAACTAATAAAATGCCTACTGTGTTCCATGTTGATCTGTGAATCCAAACATTATTAAGATGGAGACACAGTGGCAAAACGTTGAAATTGGAAATACTGATGGCAAATCTACTTAATCTAATTTTAACAATTATGACTATGATTTACTAAGATGGAACATTTTTTTATATGATGAACTCTCAGTTTTCACCTTGCACTTGGCAGTGTATGTTTTCCTGCAAGGGTCAGAGGCTGAATTTGTTATTTAAAAACACTTTTTGGCAAGCAAGTGAAATATTATGATTATGTCTGTAATACTGGGGTAAATCTTGTCAATATCATCACCTAGCTGATGCAACCCAGGATTGGTACAAATGCAATAAAACCATTTATTTCAAAATTGCAAAAAAAAAAAATCTAAAAATCAGGTACTTATCTAGGGTGGGTGTTTATAAAGTCTTTCCTGTTTTATTAATTTACATATAATTATTGTTTCATGTTTACTTCTACCTGAATACAAAACCTCTGATTTTTCAAAAGATGCTTGGGAAGGAACGAAGGCTCAATTTTTTTCCCTAGAAGTTTTGTTAAGCAAAGAATAAACTCCCATCTCCATGGTACACATTGTATAAGATGTAGACACCCCCATTTTTCAATCTATTGGAGGAGGAATTAGAAAGTGACCATTAGAGACAAAAAGAGAAGGTAAAGTTACAGTATTAAACAGAGGCTTTAAGAGAACATGTAATAGGGAGGGAAGTCAAAAGTCAATGAAAACAGAAGGGCTTTTGGCCCAATTTACCTACATGCTATCAGCTTGATTTTCTCTTAATCGGCCTAAGGTCTAAGGATGTCTTTGGGTGCTGGAGTCCTCCCTACCGCCACTCAAAAAACTTTGACATTTAGAATTTAATGTTTTCTAAGAAAAGCTTATCTGGAACTCACATGCTTCTCCAGTTACATATGAAAGAAACTGTACTCACATCAATATTATCTTTATTTATCAACTCCCCTGCACACTGCCCCGTGGGGACCAGCAGTTCAAAAGTTCAAAAAGGTTTTTGAAAATAAACCAAGATAGAAAACAGGCACCAATTCCTATTTGGAACTTACATTCTCCTCCTGTCTCCTAGCATTCTCGAGATGATGGATCAAGAAGAATGATAAAAGAGAGAGAGCGAGGCGGCTGCCAGGGGAGGGTATCAGTTGGTGAGGATGGCATTTCTCATACTGACTGAAAAATTCATCTTGTCCCCACAAGCTGTCAGGCCTCAGCACGGGAAAGATCTACATATCACACCTCAGGACGAGAAGCAGCCGCAGAAAGCCTCGCTCACTCAGAAATTCTTCCTCCCTTTTATTCTTCTGTTTTTCTTTTCTTTTATTCTATTTTTGTGTGCTGTTGCTTCAAACAGTGCTCTCTGGGGTTCTGATAGCCTCTTGAAAGGGATGGCTGAGAAAGCTTAACAAGAGGCCTATGGCAGGACAGCCTTCACCGGCCATCTCTAACCACCTCCACTCTCCTGCTAAATTCACTGGTGGACGCCTTCCGTCTCTAAACCACGTCACTGCCTGTGACAGAAGATGAAGCCCTTGCTAGTCAATCAATGTGGTGGGGTATTTCTCTTCAAATGGATGAAGTGAATGGACACAATACAACTTGAATCACCTGTTATAAGATACCAGGGACCTAAGCGGACCATTAGCTCCTCTTGAGGGCATCAGTGCAGTCCAGCTGAAACGGGCAGTTCTTCTGGAGACAGGACTGTCCTCCGCCACCTCCTCACCAGACTGCAGTGTCCTCAAGGAGAGGACTGACACATTAACATCTTCCTCAACTTGGTGTGACAGCGAGTTCTGAACGGGGGAACAGTACACCTTAGTAAGTCTGAGTAATTGTCCCAGTAATTATACTTCTATGCATTTAAAGAAACTCTTGTACAGGCCAAAGATGTTTATGGCAGTAAAAGTGAAATTATAAATGTCCATCAACATTGGAAGGAATAAGCACAATTCATTGTCAAGTGACAGGACACAGTGTGGATTTTTAGCAGCATAAGCTAGATCTATATATATTAACACTATCTTTCCCAAAATCAAGGTTAAGTAAAAAAGCATGGATTCAGATACAATACATTATGATGCTAAACTTACAAAGTAAACACTCTCAAAAAAGGCTAACTGTGTAAGTACATATACAAAAATGGAATGGAATGAGGCACTCCAAACTCCTGAAGGAGTTTACTTCTAAGGAATAAGAGGAATAGAGGGGATCTTGCGATAGCTGAAATGTTTTATTCCTTTTCAATAGATCTACAAGCAAACAGAACAGAAAGTTAACAACTGTCATTCAAGGAGGAGAGAATACAGGTGACTGTTAATCTTTCCTCTAGCTTTCACAGGTCCTGGGCTCTTCCTCCAGATCCCTGTTCATTTAACTCTGAAAATGGTTTGAAAATCATTCAATCAATTAGGTTGTCTTCTTACAAACACTAGGCAGAACCTATTCTTCATTAGACAAGAGATTTTATAAGCAAAGCCAGATTAGTTTCTGGAAAGAGAAAGTCTAGTTTGGGGGATGGGGGAGTTGTCTTGTTTTGGTAGAAACGTCATAATTCAAAGTGTCTCAAAATTAGGAATAAAGAAGTTGGACCTCTTCAAATTCGTAAAAGCCTAGTGTGTTCACACATGGCAGACTATAAGTTGATCTTCTCAGTTCCAGTCAGGGTGAGGAAAGGAGCCCCCGAAAAAACAGAAAGTATGCCTGGACCTCCAAACTGGAGACAGTTTTCCCAAAAGTATGTGGCTTACCAACCGAAAGCCTTCAGGTTGATGGATGCTAAATGGTGACGAAACCACACAGGGCCACACAGAAATGAGGGCACCATTTCAAGGTCTGGACTGGGGTTAGAGAAGGATTACTGATGTGATACAAATATGTACGTCCCACCTTTACGAGAAAGACCCAAGGAACGACAGAATTCCAAGGACAACAGAACTCCTCCATCCAAATGGATGCTATGTGAAGAAAAAAGTTTAAGATGATGAAATTCAATTTTATTACTTGTTTTCGATAATCCTGATGCCAATGATGACAAAAGACCTTATATTTTCCAAAACAAATGAGACTTTGGGCAGGGCCCTATAGATAATTAATTAGCATAAAGGAAGGGACAGGTGTGGGGACCCCAACGTGCTGGGAGATTCCTTTTGGAAACAGGACTTGGTTGTTATTCCTGGTATTGTTAACTTGTTTCCCAAGAATCACAAGGTCAAAGCGCAGGTTTTCTTAGTGACACTTGACCAGGTTTCTAAAAATGTTGTACAAAGGCCATTAAGTACAGAAAGGAAACATAATTGTTGACTTTAAATACGCAGGCAAAAGTCACGGTAAATAACAATAATTTGCTTGGAATATTGTTCCATACGGCATTTCACAGAAATCCAGCATACAATTTGCGAGAAAGTGCAGGCAAATTAATTGTATACTTTCACCTTTTCTTCTCAACTCGCATATGAGAAGAATAACATTTTACCCCACGCAGAGACACCCCATATGCCGCGTACGGTTTTGAAAAGAACCTAATCAATAGTATCAACTGAACCCGAGATTAGACTAAACGGCAGACAGAGGCAAGCAGCCTGTAGCTGTGAAGAATCATCATTCCCATGGCTTTCTACCTCCTGTTCCTTGCCGGCAGGCAACAGGGCAGTACGGCTGATCGTGCAGAGACTGAATCCAGCACAAAGTGCCACCCCCAGCCCGAGGGCTCACACCGGTAACGGTCTGTGAAATGCCTCCCAAGGCAAGAGCTGCTAGCTTCCACCTTCCTACGGCTCTGCCCCCCACCAAGCCTTACCCGGAGGTCTCCCCAGGGGCAAGCAGACATAGCCCCTAACTCAGAGTCAGACTCGGGTTTACTAGCTGGGCCGCTATGGAAGAGCTGCTCTACTTTTCTGATCCTTCCAACCCTCCGTGGAGTGGGTCTACTAAGGGACGCAACCTGGGAATGCAACTGTGAGCACAAGGCATTTAAGTCAGCCAGGCTCTTTGCCCACTGTGAACTCATCAGGGCTCCAGCTCTGTGCGTCCAAGTCATCCTCGTGCAGTCAAAGCAGCAGCTCCCATCTATCGAGCAATCACTACGTAAGAGGCACGGGTCCCTCACGCATGTCAGGCTCACACAACCTGAGGCAAACGGTCCCAGCATCCCTACGTCACAGATGGGGAAACTCAAGCCAGGCAAGTCACATGCTCAGACAACCCTCTGCCCCAAGGCAGGTGTTGAACAGGTTTATCTGAGGCCAAAGCTCAGCCCTTCAACCAGTGTTCCACTTCTCTGGTTGCACATCTGAGTTGCTGGGAGAACTTGCAAAATGTTAATGTCCAGGCCACCCTCCAGACCATGTAGACTGGAACCTGTGGGGCCTGGGACCCAGGCATCAGCATTCTGAAAGGTGATTCTAATGTGCACCCATGTTTGAGAACAACTGTTTGAGTCCCCATACAACACCCGGCATGGGGTCCCCCTCTGATGTGTTACCTTCCTCGTTCTGCTCTACCAAATACCCACAAGCTGAGTGACTTAAAACGTACACACTTAGAGTGTTACAGTGTTAGAGTTCTGGAGGTCAGAAGGCCAAAATGGATCTCACCAGGCTCAAACCAGGATGTGGCTGGGCTGCCCCTCCCAGACGCTCTTGGAGAAAATGTTCCCTTGCATGCCTTCTCCAGCTTTGAGAGGCTGCCCACATGCCCGCAGGTGTGTGAATCCTTCCTTCATTCTCAAAGCCAGCGAC